ACTAAAGCACCAAATGTGGATAAATCCATCACTAAAAATAGTCTAGACATTGAAAACTTACATGAAAACTCCATAGGGCACTTATAAGGGACGGGGGGGAAATGAAAAGGGGCACTGGGACTGGTGGTCAGTTGGTGGTGTCCCTCTGTCTGCAGAATCCTTGTTATATAAAATAAAGTAAAGACTCGAATATTAAAAGAGGTAAGCCTCCTTATGATCCATAACTAACTACTTTAATATATTTTCTAGCTACACCTACGTGGATGAAGGCGAGGTGTTTGCAGAATGTCAGTTTGCCTTTGATCTGGAACTTCCTCTGGATTTTAAGCCTATAGTGGGGGATGGAGAGGTGCAGGACTTCTACCTCCTGCCCATAGATAAGGTTAGTATGGATGACATGTTCTGAAAAGTATTCCTATGAAATAACAATATTCTGAGGGCTGACATTAAAAGAACCAAAATACAGGAGGGGCGTTTTGTGATCACTCTATCTCGGTTTCAGGTAAAGGAACTGGTGGCCACTGACGACTTTAAACCCAACTGTGCCATGGTGGTCCTAGACTTCCTCATCAGACATTCGTTTATTGAGCCAGACACAGGTTTGTGGTCATCTACGAAACTTCCACTGCTGACTGCTCACTGAGATCATTGACTAAATCAGTTGACTACTTCAGATCTCTTTGTAAAGTTAGTCTTGTGTTTTCATTTCAGAGCCCTGCTATCAGGAATTTGTGGCGGGACTCCATCAGACATTAGAGTGAAGCTGAGGACTGAGGCCACTGTCAGAGGCCGAGACACCACATACTGCGCTTATCCCAATAATGTTAGCCACGCAGAAGCCAAGCAAGTGCTGAGTGCTCAGTTTCTGCTTTGAGAGAACACCAAGAATCCACTGAGCCTGGCAACAGTCCATGATCTCAGGTGAACTGAGTGCTGGATTTGGGACTGATTTTTATTAGGTTGGTCGACAAAGACAGACTAAACCAGGGGTCGGCAATCTTTACTATCAAAAGGGCCATTTTTGGTTTGAAGAAACCTGGAACCACAAAACATGTCTGAGCCTTATAATATTAATTACATTACTGGTAAGCCAGCAGCATTGGTGGTGAAAGCAGACAAATCTGTCTCTATTTTCCTTTATCTTTGGTTGGATTTGGAATCCATAGGTAGTTTCAGAGACTCAAGACTAGTAGCCACCACTATTGACGTTTGGCAAAATATAGAGGACAAGGCTCTAGGTCAGGACGTAACTCATGATACACATTTAGGTTACGAAATGTTTAAAAAAGTCAGATTCTTTACCAACTTAAAAATCCCGCAGCTCAAAAGAAGCAGAGCGAACAGTTCAACGGGAGTTTCTGGACTCCCTCTTTAACTCTACGGATTCTGATATTGTCTCGTCTGTTTTTTTTTTTATGCTCAGTATTTTTTATGAATCGAAACGTAGGCACGTCATCAGAAATAATCTGAAGACTAAGTTTTAGTATAAATCTAAGAACGCTGTTATATATGAGGCCCCAGGTGAGTCTGCTCACAAGCTTAGATTTCTCTGTAGCTTGTATTCGGGTTTCGGGACATCAGTCCTCTCTTCAGCCTCCCCGATCGACCTGTTTGTTTTGTTGATTTTGTCTCAAATCGCTTTCAGCTGCAGACTGTATTTCCTGAACTCCCTCGCTTCTCTGAAGGCCCAGGTTTGTCATTTGTCATACACCATTTACTGTACATGAGATCAATAAACTTGTTTCAAGGCAACTGATTTAGATTTTGTTCAGTAATATCTTCCATCTACTTCAACTTCAAATTAGACAGGAAGAAAAACAACTCTTTTCCTTTTGGTTTAAGGTCATTTTCAGTGTCATTAAGAGTAAACAGCTCAGAGAAAACAGTCACGTCTTCCGTGGCGCTGCAGGAGCTGTGTTGAGTCTGAAAATAACCCTGACGGTGTTACAGTCAGAAAGAGACTGTCCTTTATCAATTTATTCAAACTCAGCCAGAAGCCATATGATTATCATTCGGAATGGAAAATATTTATCATTTTAGGCTCATTTCCCCATATTCCAGCCTGAGTCATTTTCTCATTTTTCTCTACTAGAATTTAGAAGTTTGGCTACATAGCAGTTTGTAATGACGGATGCATGTGTGAAAAAAGCCAGATTTACACAAATAACTGAAATGATGAGGCAGAATTTGGTCCTTATCAGTTAAAATTTATTTCCTGTAGAATACATTAAAAATGACGACTGGAGAAACGTGAGGATACATTTGTATACAAAAGAATGTTTCTCTTAAAAATCCCCAATACTTTAGGAGGTGCTTGCCTTTTGCATTACATAATTTTGACATCATATCTTTTTCAAAGTGTGTACCACACTGACCTTTTGTTTCAAAGTTGTGTGCAAATAATACAATGTAAGCCAGTAGAATATCACATAAAGTTAAAATAACATACAAGAGAATACAAAGCGGAGAAAGAATAGTTGGGAGACATTACCCTGGCATACAGTACACCGTATATTTTCAAATAAAAGCTGGTGTTTAAATAAAGAGAGTGTCTAATAACAGCCGAACTAAACACAGAGGGGATGGAATTACCATGCTAGAATGTCTCACACGCTAAAATTCAGAATAACTTACATTACGCAGCACTTACTCCGTCACTTCAGAGTCATGTCAAACTCACTACCAAGTTTCTTTTATTGCTGCTAAGTAAAACTCGACGCTTCCTGCTAATGTTTCAAATTAAAAGCCCACTGGAAACAACAGCAAATGTGTCAATGAGCTGCTGGGAGGTTTTTAAATGTAAAATCCGTACGTTAAGTGTTGCATTTATACTGATGGTAACTTAACAGCAATTAAAAAGCAGCTAAATTGAGGTGACTTCATCTATCTGAAAATGTGTTATGAAATGTGAGAAACTGACATGACGTGGAGTAGTGATGGAGATAGTGCTGTAGAAATGTACATTATACCAAATTTATCAAGACAGCAGTTAAACATGAAGGAAGATCAGAAAACATGGAAGCTTCTTACTAAAATATGATGAGATTTACATAAACAATTTAAAACAGAGGAAATTAGAAATAAAGACTGGTCTCTAATATAACCCTGTTTTACATAAAAGATCTGGTCCTCTGAGGTAAATTAAGGCCCCGCTACTACTTGACAATTTACAGTAGCTGTCAAGAGGATAAAACAATTTTGACAACCCTTTAATACCCGACTGTATACAGTGTGTCTGACAGTCCACATCAATTCAATCACATACAGTTTTCCGACTGTTGCATTCATTAAAGCTAGCATAAAGCACTCAAATAAGTTGGTCTCATTACCGTCATGTATTTATGCTCAAATGCAAATAATCAAACTCTCACATTTTTAAATGAATGAAAGTTGTATCAAATACTACAGGTTCATTAGACACAAATGCCATACCAAGTTAGGTTGGTCTATGTTTCCTCAGGGGAATAAAGCAGAAAGAAAAACTTACAGAATGAAAAAACTGAAGACAAGCACAGTCACACTGCAAGCCATGGAAGTCTTCCAACAGTTAGTTAAGCAGGCGCACATCCCCCCCCCACCAAATCTCTTCTGGAGCTGGTCTCAACTATTAACTGTAAAGCTACAGTTAAGACAGAACTGGAAACAATTACCCTCCCACACTTTAAAAAGTATGACTGAGAGAGAGGTTCCCTTCTCGTCACATTCTCTGAATTTGAATCCTAAACACAAGATTACAGTACTTTTTATTTGAAAGATAGAGGCTATAACCTTGAACTTAAATGTATATTCTCCCTTTTTCCTTTGCATTTAATCTTCCTTTTTTCCCCTTTGGCCTGGTTTGACTTTTCTCCCTCATCCCTATAACGCCCCATTCAACTGTGCCAACCTCAGTGACAAAGCAGACACAGAGGTGGGATGTTTTTTTTCTTGGCTTGGTTTGTTTTCCCTCTTCCTCCCAATCCTGCAGTGAGCTGACACCCTAAAGCACAAGGCAGCCGCCCTTCTTGCCTCGCCTCTTGGCCTGTAGTGCCGCCCTGGTGGCCATCTCGAACACCTCCCTCACGCCGTCCTTGGTCTTGGCTGAGCACTCCAAGTAACCAAAGGCATTGATCCGGTTAGCCATGTCCCTCGCCTCTTCTGACTTCACTGGTTCCTGTTGGAAGAACCAAAGTCATGCAGGAAAATCAGCTCAACTCATAGAAAACAGGACACCATTTTTAAAAGGTTTAGAGTTCAGTAAAGATCAAACATTTTAAAAACACTGCATGTTCACTCCGTCAATGGTCAAAATGTGGGATCACTTTATTATATGATCTCTATGCTGATAGCAACTTTACCTCTTTTAAGCAATTGGTACATAGATGTAATATTCCTAGAACTACAGGTATTTGTGTGAGGCATCTCAGAAACTCAGTGTCGTCACGTAACTCTGATTCCTCCCGTCTTTTCTAGACTCCATCCTTAGATGTAAAGTGATGTAAAACAGGCCTTAAAAGCACCAGTGTTTAGTATTAAATGGCACCTCGCGGCGAGAAACTACCGTGGCTGCAAACTTGGAGAGGCCCCTATCTAGAGTCAGTGTTTGGTTTCTTCTGTTCTGGGCTCCGTTCTGGAAGAGGACCCTCCGCCTCTGTTGATAAAAATGTCTCATTCTAAGGTAACAAAAACACAATGATTCTTATATTGAGGTGATTATACACTAATGAAAACATATCTATAAATATCTCTGTCAATGGATCCTCCTAAATGTTACACACTGGGAGGGGGGGCATATGAGATAAATAGTATTGTTCCAAGCAGACTATACAGATGGATAATCAATTAAAGGGAAAAAAAGAACACAAACCTCCTAATTCAATTGATCATTTTCATTATCATATTGTATGTACATGTATATAAAGAAAATATCTGCATTAGTCATGTTTCTCCACTCCTTCATTGAGGTTTTTCCTTGAATTTGTCACCCATCTGTATGTCTTAATACATGTCTGGAAGGAATCTTTTTTAAAAACGATGATGTCGTGTCATTTTATATTTCTTCAGTCTGACGGTCTTTGGTAGGAATCGTATGAAAGTCTGTACGTACAAAACCCCACAGGCCTGAAACCTTTACAAAGCGGGCCTCACTGACCTGTTTCATCTTGGCTAACTCTCGACGTGTGTGCTCATCATTTCGCAGGTCTTTCTTGTTTCCCACGAGAATAATGGGCACATTGGGACAGAAGTGCTTGACCTCAGGAGTCCACTTCTCTGGAATGTTCTCTGCATTGGACACAAGGTGCACATGTTAAACACAGAGTGGACGCAAACAGAAAGTTGGTGCAAAAAAACCCCCCAAAAAAACAAAGAGAGGAAATCTTACCCAAACTGTCAGGGCTGTCAATGGAGAAACACATGAGGATGACATCTGTGTCTGGATAGGAGAGGGGCCTCAGTCGGTCGTAGTCCTCCTGTCCTGCTGTGTCCCAGAGAGCCAGCTCCACCTGTAAAAGGACAGGTCAACAGGACTAGTTAACCACACACATACAGCAGTAGATCAGTATATTTGATCAGAATTAAATGTCATGGGCTCGAAGGCACGCAGTAGGAGGCTGTACAGCGGGGGTCTTCAACTGGGCCACATTCAGCCAAAGCTTCCCAACCGGCCCATAGAATGGCCACTGATCAAAGTATTTCAATATTACTGCATTAAAAGCATTTTATAAGCGTAATACAAGCTAACTTTTTATTATAAAGTAGTGGTAACAGGAAATGATTTCCTATACGTGTTCACACTGATATAGGGTAAAAAAAACAAAACATTATTTTTGTTAGAAGTTAAAATATTAAACAATAATAGAAAAACAAATGCAGTTGAAGAGCCCTGAAGTACAGTAAAAAGAGCTTACCTGTTTACCATCCACCTCAATGTCTGCCACATAGTTTTCAAACACTGTGGGCACATAAACCTCAGGGAACTGGTCTTTGCTGAACACTATGAGGAGACAGGTCTTGCCACAGGCTCCATCCCCAACTATCACTAGTTTCTTTCGGATTGCAGCCATCTGAAAGAACAGAATAAAGACATTTAGCAGGATACAAGAGACGTTTATAGGCAAGTTCAGGCAGGTCAGCAAAGTAAAGGACACAGTGCTGACTTACGTTTGACCAGAGTTAAGCTATTTTGTTTGTGAAGAGTCCCAGTGTAGAAACGTACTACAGATGGTGGTGTGAACAGTTTCGTAACGGGAAACACTAAATGACTGAAATCTGAACAGGCTCTGCAGAAGGTGCATTCCGTGTTAAAATACATTGCACAGGTTTTCAATGAATCAAACGTTCTATGCACAACCAACCGTCCAAGTTGAAAGTAACACATTTTCTATGATAAAGATTTAAGATGTAAACTCTGAAGACCTGAACATAAGCTATGTTAACAGAGCCTTCACTCTCTGCTAAACAGCCTTGTCCTGCATTACAAGTAGGCAACAACCAAAAAAAATCACTGAATTTGACCCAAAAAAGCCCATTAAGTACACATGATTGTTAAAAATTCCTAGAAATGTCAGTAAAACTCATCTCTGATGCATTATTCACATGAAATAATCTGTTTAAAATGTATCCAAATCTCTCATTTTACACAACTTCCTGCAGTTATTGCGTTCCCTGTTCGGGTTCATTGTACAGTTTATCTGTTGTGCTCTGCCGTTACTGTTACGCATTGAATATAATATGAAATATCCAGAAAATATCTCAGCCTTCACTTTACTCAATGATAAAAAAATCTTTAAGGGCCCCTAAAAGAAAAGGTTTGGGAACTGCTGATCCTGACCAAAGTGTTGGACAACACTGATTTCTTTCCCCCCACTATTAAAAGGTCACAACCAACAAATCATCCAACTATGTAGGCCTGAAAGCAATACACGAGACATCATCCTGCTTAGTTTAGGTTGTTGCCTATAGTCAATTCAATTAACACAACAAGTAAATCACAGCATAACATGATCATTGACAGAATCATTCTTACTCCTATAAATGAAACTAAATCAACATTATAGCTTGGTTCAAAAATACAAGACCATTGATGTTAACATATGTTGATAAAAAAAGAGATCTACTGATGAATGTGCTGATAAAATCAGGTTATTCTTGTAGCCATTTCTAATCCGATACATGTAACTCTGAATATATTTCTTCACTATTTACTGAAGCTGTGCCTGAATAAATGTCAGTCAGCGCAAATACAAACGGATTCACATTCAGATGGCATTATATACAGTCAGTCTTTCTATTACCACCTATATGAAGTACTCAGTGCTTTAGAGAGTGAACTGGGTTAGCGTTACACTCTGTTAGCTGTAGATATAATGAACATTAAAGCTCCAGCTGCCTGTCTGTGGAGAAGTTCAGTTGCATTATAACTTCACGTTACTTCCTCACTGCTTACCTCTAATGCAAATGGCTATTCTATCTGTCAACATAACCTACGGTGAATTGCTTCACGTTACACATAACTTGCCATCCTAATATTACTATAATTACATATTAATATTCTTATTTGGCCTATGTTTGTCACTGAATTAACGTATCAGCTAACTTCTAGCTAGCAGCAGTTTCCATTCCATCTAAGGAAGCTAACTATTAGCTTGCTAACTTTGCTTAGTTTTCTCGTGTCCGGCTGGACACATAACATTTGGACACCGTGATATATTGCTTGATTCTAGCAGCTACCGCGACACACAAAGCAACAAAGCCGCTATCGTGAGTATTAACTTTACCGTAATTCCACGGTTTTATTAGAAATACTCGCCTTTCTTTAGTTTTCCTGTCGGACCTTACAGTCCCGCCCCGACATTGCCACGAAGAGTGCGCCCGCCCACAAGCGTATACTTGCAGCCAATGGGAGACGGCGAAATCACGAGTGACTCGTACCTTAGCCAATCAATATATTACATATATAAAAATCGCCCAGTTTTGTTTTACCCGAGATAAAGGCGTGAGCAGTGATGTTTCGCTCTCAGTTCACATACAAACAATTCTGCTACATGTATAAAACATGGTTGTATTACATGTTCTTCCTCATACCGCTGGATGCCACTCTGTTCCTAAAGCATAAACACATGAACACAGTTACAAGTCAAATTAATGTGACTGAATTGATGTGTGAAATAATACAATTTAGGATTGTATATAGGAACATTCTAAGGAACTATATTATTATTAATATATATTAATCGTATTACATATTTAGGACCATCAACATGCTACCATAATTCATTTGACTTAAATAATTGAACCCCATTATAGAAAAAGATACCTCTGACCAACAGTTAAATAATAAGAATAATAATAGTATACACAATGATTGTGAAGAGATCTGGAATGTAGTAATGTAGTCCCATACAGTTTCCTCGAGGCATGCTTAATCATAGAGCAATGTTTTTATGAGTGGGACCCTTTTTTGATTGTTCTAGTGCAAGCACATAAGGGCATATGTGCAAGCATGCAGGGGACATGATCCATGTTCATGCCAGTGTTTCTACTGTTCTACTGATCTAATGGTGACAACATGCCATGCAGCAATGCAATACCAAAAGCAGGAAAGAAGACTGCAAGCAAACATACAAATAAAAAATGCACAATTCAGACTTTTAAGAAAAATCGGCTTTGCAAATGCTTTATGAGGAAGGAAATTATTTCAACATGTTTGTAAGACCACAAGGATACACACAGTGCATTCTGGGGAGAAAAGTTTACAAAAACGTTGTTTACCAGTTTTTATCTTAATGGAAAGTTCCACGCTTATCATTAAGATGTTGCACTCAACTGACTGACAATGTCCTAAATATTAGTAGTAAGTGACCTCTGCCAAACTCCTCCTTTACTTCAGCACCTGATGTCAAACAGTGGATGGGGACTATGTATTAATATGTTGAACCAGACCAAACCAAATGGTCACTGTAGTTTCTCCTACAGTCTCATTCCCAGGTCGTCAACTACAGACACCAGGCAATGTTCAATTAGTTTGCAATCTGGCAACTTTACGCTAGATGCCACTAAATCCTACACACTGCTCCTTTAAAAGGCTGGTATAAGTGTTGCATTATTATTGCCATTATGGACACTACATTTCATATTACATTGTCTTTGAGGTGATGTCAATGGCAACAATACAAAAAAAGGCCCAAGGCTCATTGTGATGGGCTACAAAGGCAAATATAAATAGCATTCTAATTAAATATGGCAGGAAGCTGTCTGGAAGGTTTTGTTCAGGCCAAATATGCCATCATATATGGGCATAATTTTACTTCCCCTTAGTAATATTTAATTAGTTCATTGTATTTCCCCTCAAAACACAGGTTTTATTTAGCTTGCAGCATGGCTCTAGGATTGCAATATCGGTTCCTCTGCCTGTTGGTCAGTCCAGGACTTCAGTCCACACTGAGCGGGTATCCTGACTTTATCTCTAGCACCAGTAGGCCATGGTTTTTCTGCTATTTTGTGAAATATATCACACGAAATTGCACAAAATCTTTCATTGACATTCAGGGATCCCAGATTAAGTAACCAAATTGGTCATCCGCTGACTTTTACTCTAAATGCATTCAGGATTAACTGTAACTGTTACCTCAGTATTTTATTCTATTGTTGTATTTTATTCTATTGAAATGTACCTGGCTGCTATGACGACCCAATTTCCCTTTGGGGATTAATAAAGTCTATGTATCTATCTATCTATTCTATCTATCTAACTGTGATCCTATGACTTTTTGTCTAGAGCAATCAGGCACATTTTTAATTTATCCAGAAAGAGTCTATCTGTCTTGTACTTCGTTGTTCGAAGCATTGGCATGTCAATTTCAGCTTAACCTTTTATGTTTACTTACTGTGGCAAACTCCCTTGGTGTAACAGAAATGCAGAACGTGTTAAGAAATGTACAGTATATCAACATCAGTCCACAACCACTAATTCATTGGTTTACTAGAATGATATTATTATTATTATTAAAGCAGTTTTTGTTAAATAATGAGTTTTTGAACGTCATTTGCCGAGTTATGGTTAAGGTATGAGTTCCTGTTGGTCATCTGCGCGCACACATTATTTTACAAACATGTGTTGATCACGTGGTCAGGTCAGAGGAAGTTGACTTGTTTGAGCCAATAAGCGACAAGCTGGAGTACATGACGTTAGCCATTGGCTGATTCAAAAGGGAGGAAATTTAAACGTTAACGGTTTGTACTGCAGTTTCATCTGTGTCGCTGTAGGAACAACACACAGCTGCGGTAAGCTTTTCAACACGTCTTATTTATTTAATTCAAACGTTACAAAAGTAGTGGTTTCCCTGTACTAAACTGAATAATGAATGTAACAATACATAGCTGATAGTTTGATTAATATAGTGCTATCTAACGTTAGTGTGTGCTTAAGAAGAGGTTGTTTTTAACGTTAATGCTTGCTAACGTTAGCTAGCCAGTTGTTTCCCCTCCGCAACGTTACAGCTCATAGAAAGAAAACCCAACTCCCAAACAACATTCAGTAACTTAACGTTACATTACCACTGCAAGATAGCTTTCCACTTCAGTTCAGTTTGTTACCTTGATTCAGCCAGTCCTTTCCTGTTAGAAACAGCGCTTTGTGCTGTAACGTTAACGCTGAAATAATGTTAACTTAACGCAGGCTTTCCTTCAAGTGCATTTTTTAATTTAATTTAAGACTTGTCCTGTTTCTGGTTCAGTAAAGTGAGGTGTCGGATAACAGTTTGAGAATATGGCCGAGAGAGACTCCGGTGATACCTGTGAACGCTATGAGTTTGACGCCCCTTCTGAAGTGGTCGACTTGAAAGAGCTAGACAACACCGAGTACGACGATAAGTGGTTTGGTAAGTCTCCGTTCATTTTAATGTGGCTGGTATTTATCTCATGTTGAACTGTCGGACCGAAGCAAACAGTAGGTGAGACTGTTTGGCCGCAGCATCCATTAACAATTCAACATAATCATTATGTGTGGTAATTAGACAGCGTTTTGCGGTCTAAGCAGGATTAACCACAGGAAAAAGGTTCATTCCTCTGCTTTGGCTCCTTGTGCAGTTATACAGGCCCCTCAGGTCTGCTCACACTGGACGTAACTAAGTTAGTGCAGATGGACAAAATAATAAACGTGTTAGGTTTATGCAGTAAAAGCCGTTTTGGTGAAGCTAATGTCGGGTTTTGCTCCCATTGTCATGATGCATCTCCCGGGTTGGTGTTTTGGTCGACATCCATAGTTATTTTATTATTTTACAGGAAGTGAGTGACGCTGGCTCACAGCCCCTCTTCCTCCTCCTCCTTTCCTCCTGAAAATGTGTGAATAAATGATCTCTGACGTTATATTTAGTATAAACCATTAAAGCAAAAAGTGCTTGTTGAGTTCTTCATTTAATAAAGTACTACCCCTTGTTTGGCCAGCATGCGTTCAACGTGAATAATGTTGGAAACAAAAGATTCCCACGCACTGTCCCCTCAGTCCTTTTTGTACACCAGGTTATGTGTGCCATGATGCATAAAATGGTTAAATTCAACCCTTTTTACCTAGTCTTTATTTATTTTTAAATGGTAAATTTACGAATTATGGATGTCGACTGAAATGAAAAATATTGCAATATTGACCTGCATTGACCCATGAACTGATGTTCAGGAGATGAAGGGTATATGTAGGTGAAATCAAAAATCTGCAAAAGGATTCTGCATCTTCCTGATCTCTGTGTCTTACATGCAGAACAACAAGCCACAGAAGCAGGTGGTCACCTTAAAACACCTTCACGATCCGACCGACCCTTTATGAGGAGTGATACGCTCAACCTGCCGAGAGCCATCGTAACCCCACAAGTCAAAGACGTGGACTCTGGTTAGTGTTTGGATGCACTCAAAATGAGACAAGAATTACTCAGCCCTGTAGTGGCCGGTCCTTCTGCAGACAGTAATGTGTTAACTTGGATTCACAGCAGTAAGTCAGTACTGCCAGTATGGACGTGTTAAACAAGTTCACAAAGGTTTCCTGAATGAAATACATTTTCAGGCTTGCATGTAGTACTTTCCTGTATGTGACTGCTTTATTCTGTTAACTGTTTGGACAGATTGAGTTTTATGTGTAATGTGTACACTACTGAAAGCTGAACTCTTGCATGGTCCTAGATTAGTCTGTATTTTGTAATTCTGTGAATGGTCCTCATGACTTGGCTATCATAAACCCAGATGAACTGATCAATATTCCAGGTCCGACCACATCCACGTCTACAGCTCCACCTCCAAACATCGTCACATCCTGGGGTGCTGATAGTTCCCCTCGGACTGGTGCCCAGCCGAAGAGGAGGTCCGTTAATCAACCCCCTGCCCAACCATGCAGGTACAGTCTTTGTTACGCCTACTCTTATTTCTAAGACACTTCCACACTGTAGTAAAAGTGCTACAATGGGCCAGACACAATATCAAATTAAACTGGTACTGATTCATAACGCTACACAATCTTGTTCTTGAATGTTTCTGGTAATTTACTGTGAGTAACTTTTCTTGCATCAAACCAAGCACCTGACTGTATTACACAATCTTACAAAGTGCCCAGGAAGAGATGGCAAGGTGTCAGCACAGCAGCTCCAGACAGCAGTATTCTCCTGCTGCTATAGCTAACATCAGAACAGCACAACTTGGCAAACTAGAAACTGTGCCGAATGTCTGTGAGCAAGTCATTTAACGTTACAAGAACAAGTTAGTGTCCCACACACCGAACAGTAAGCTAGTCGACTGTGATGAGTCAGTGTATTGGATTAGAATTTCATTACCTGCGTCTGTGGCTCAGGGTTATCAGAGTTAAAGCCTTTCCAACAGAAAACTGAGGGAGACG